AAAAAGAAAAGAATTAATAAGCATTTCAATATCAGCCTGTTCAGAGAGACAATTCCCCTGTATCGGAGTCAAGTCCAAGAGCTGACGTACTCGATTGCAAAACAAGCGGCACCCGTATTAAAAAGTACTTAAAGCTTTATGTGCTCTTTTTCCAAACTTCACCATCTCTGGCCTCTCCAAAGCCCTATTTTCCTATGTAGAGACTGTTGATCCTGCTTTCCTGTGCCCAGCACCTTCCCCCCCAACCAAAAATACCTCCAATGGACTTGGAGCAGGGGCGGGCAATTATTTTGAGCGGAGGGCCGCTTACTGAGTTCTGGCAAGCCATTGAGGGCCACATGACAGGCAGCCAGGGGCAAATAACTATTAATTTTCTAAATTTTTTAGAGGCCTGTGGGCTGGATAGAATGGCCTGGTGGGCTGCATCCGGCCCGCGGGCCGCATTTAGCCCACCCCTGACTTAGAGCAACATTTCCCTTTATTGCTGCTACAACACTCACTGCATTTGCTCCGGCTGCTCATGGGCATCGCCTCTCTCACCTGCTACTTCTCTCTTACTCTGCAATTTCATGGGGCAAAATCCTTCCCTTCTTCTATTCCTACCAGCAAACTCTACAAGCATCTCCGCTGAACTAACAGCTTCTGTAATCTCATCTAAAAAAAAAACTTATCTTAACGATGGCATAAACCTCTTCAATCTTTCCTCCATGGTGCTTATGTTAACGCATTTTACCATAAACCTCTTTACATCGCCGCCTTCTATCACATACATGATGTGCAATGTGTTGTATGTGGTTTAATTTGGGAAAGCGCATAAGATAACATTTCTATGGAGATGACATAGCAGGAAAAAACCTCACTGGATTGAACCTCACGAGAGAAGTATGTACATGTTTGTACTATTATTAGTGTTCAGGATGCATCATCACTTCTGTTTACATTCTAAAAAAGCCAAAAAAATTCAAAATAAGGCCCAAACCCTCACTCATGCCAATTTGGGATTGGGAACTGGAATGTAATCAATGTAATCTCTCATCACAAGCTAAATATCACTGAAGTGACGTGTGCCTCGACCAGCGATCCTCAACCCGGGTGCCGCAGCACCGTGGGGGACCTTTCAGGGGTGCTGCGGGATGCTACACACCATTGGGTGCGCAAACACGAGTCACACAAGATAAACCAAATGACTTCAAATTACAATGTAAACTGTTAAAAAAAGTTGGGAACTTTCTGTGTTCTTTGCAATAGAAAAAAAAAATTGCTGTATTATTTTGCCATGAACAAAAAATGACTGCTAAGAGCCGGCATTTTCTGAGGGATCATCGTGAGTCTAACAAGTGGTGCCCTGATTGAGAACCACTGGCCTAAATAAAATGGAGAGATTGCTGTAGTACCGGCCTAAATGTTCCCTTCAAAATAGAGCACAAATGACCCCTATCTTTAACCACAAATAATGCACAATGAGGACGGGGCTAGCATAGGGCTGCAGTTGGATGAAATGAAAACAGAGGGCCAAGCAAAAAAGAAATGCGTTTTTTTAAGAGCCCTGTCAGCAAAAAAGTGCTTCTGACAAATAAGACTGAAATGACCAAAGATTTCAAGAAAATATGTGCAAAACAGTTTTCTCTCCTGAGAGTACACTATCTGGATGCTTGATTGATGCTTTCCTCATGGCACTTATCTCCTCCAAGCGTAAGCGTGGCAGGCTTTCCCATACAGAAGGTAAGCAGCAGCAAAGTGAAAGGCTGGAGGAGTTCAAGGCAAGGTATGTTTGCAATTTCAGAGGGCGTGAATTAAATGCCTTATTTTCACACAGCAAGAGCATAAATCCACGTGTGCAATTTCAGTGAACACTTAGATCCTTTTTCTTTTTTTTCCTGGTGCTTATAGGAAAGGGGCGGACTAAATTTAAGGTCAACACACTGTTGGGACCAAGTGTAATCTCATCAGCCATTGCTTCAAAGATCAGGTCTTTGCGTCCATGAAAGACGTTTAAATGATCCCATCAAGCCGGCCGCTATCAGCCGTGCTCTTACTGTGCATTACACAGAGTTCTTGCCTCCTCTTAGTATAAACACGCTGGACAGTGGCCCATTAGTGGTTTGCAAGTTTATGCTAAGCGTTGCAATTTATTGCTGTCCTTCAGGTTAAAGTACTTTTATTCCATGTATTTATAACATATTTCTGCATTTGTTGGTAATTATAATGTAATGTTTGGATACTAGAGATCAATCGGGGCTCCATAATGTTTACGGCGTTACATTAATAAAGTAGACCTTTCACAGTTCAAACTTTACCTTGCGACTCAAGGTCAACTTCAGATTTAACATTCACACCTTTATTTCTAAGTTTTTTCCAACTTTGGTCACCTGCTTCACAAAATGGAAGTTACATATATCGCGTTTTGGCTAGTTCAGGGAGCTTTCAGGTATGCAATTTTTGGTTTTTTAAACTTAATGTATAAGCTATATGATTAAATGTTCTCTGGAACGGATGTCAGGGTTTCCCCTGGATTAAATGCTCTTTTTTCCCAGTCTAGTTTTGCCTGGGCATCTAAATCGCTTTGGAAACAATTTAGCATTCCTTACACATCCCAAACTCCCAGTGAGATCACTTGGTCCTCCAGGAATACAGAAAGAGGCCCCTCTCCTGGTCAGTAATACATAAACCTTTGAAACTAAAGGAACGTAGCTACCAGGGCTGGACACAGGCATGAGTGAACCAGGCGGCCACGTGGGGCCCGGACACAAGGGGAGCCTGAAAGTGGTAATTTTTTTATTATCACCATCATTCTCTCTGACAATAGGTGGCCCGATACTAAAAGTTCATCCAAGGCCGCCAGGAGTCTGGGTA